ACAAGTTGAAACCCCCAAAACTGATCTGCCAAGCGTCAGCCACAATTGCAGGAACCCTTCATCAGAAGCCTGTTCTGCCAAGTGATAGAGTTTCTCCTGTTGTATTTTTGGGCTCAGCACTTGATGTCTGACAGTCGACTGAGCTGTGGGTGTTGTTACTCTAGGGTCTGAGTCTGGGAGAAGAGAAATAATCTTCTCTCTGTTAAACTTTGTCACTTAGATCCCAGTGTGGCCACTCCTCTGCCAAAATATCATTTCTTTCAAAAATATGGCACTTTTAGCTTTGTGTACTCATTGTTGCCCAAATGAATCCCTGATTTTCAGGGTGGAGGTTCAACCATTAAGAGAACATCAGTCACCATCCTATCCCCTCCATGGTGTTTATTCTCTCATGCCACCTCCCATTTATACCAATTTATATAATTAATGCTGACTCCAAGATGGACAGCCAATCACCACATCCTAAGATATCTTGACATTTATCTCAGGAAAGCTTGCTTGGGCACCTACACAACCTTTTTTCTAAGACCATAACATAGTTAATAATAACCTTGAGGTTAGCAGTAGTGAAGAGTAACCTATTTAACAGCTTCCATTCACCAAGGTCCACTTCAAATAACAGCCCCCTCTCCCTACACACAGTAGTGAAAGGAAGCGCTTTCAGCCTCCCCTGTTCTATCATTGCAATTACTTTATGTTTCTATTTAAATCTCAATCATGATCTGCCTTATAGTGCAGTCACTCAAGCATGTGTCTGTCTCCTTCATAAATTGCCAGGTCTTTAAGAGCAGAGAAACTGTCTCACTCATCTTTATATGACTCTCAGAACCTTGCAGAATACCTGTCACAGACAGATTATTCAATAAATGTCTCAGGAATTGATAACAACCTTGGGACTCTAGGAACTCATCAGAGATCAGCTACCTCCATTATAACTTGGTCAATAATTCAGTCTATTAGGAGGAATGACTACATTAAATTTGTTCTGCCAACACCGCTTATTCTTGCATTGAAATTCACAGACTGGTTGACTTAGCAGTTTGCTATGATTTGAAAAGACCTGCCTATGATATAAAAGATACAGAAATCAGAATAAATAAAAGTCAAATTACTCTTGACAAACATTAATTGAAAAATCATTGGAACAATGCTGTTCTCTCTAGTGGGCTTCTCGGGTGGCTCAGTGATAAAGAATCCCTCTGCCAATGCAGGAGACACAGGAGACGTGGGTTTGATCCCTGGGTCGGGATGATTCCCTGGAGGAGGAAATGGCAACCCATTCCAGTATTCTTGCCTGGAAAATTCCATGAACAGAGGAGACTTGCAGGCTACAGTCCATAGGGTCAAAAAGAGTTAGACATGGCTGAGCAACTGAGCATGCACACACGTTCTAGTGGATAATACCCAAATAACATAATACCCAAAAGGTAAGGTGACCCGGGTTCAATCCCTGGGTTCAGAAGATCCCCTGGAGAGGGAAATGGCAACCCACCTCAGTATCCTTGCCTGGAAAATCCCACAGACAGAGGAGACTGGTGGGCTGCAGTCCATGGGGTTGCAAAGAGTTGGGCATGACTGAGCAAGTAAACACACATTGAGTGAGATGGAAGGGCAAAATGTGGCTTTTATATTCTACTCAAAGTTTCTCATTTTAACTTTAAATTGCCTCATAACATCTTAGTATAGCAGCCAAATTAATGAGTCAAATCAGATTTCAAATAAATACACTGAACAAATAAAGTTTCAAACTCAATTAACTTCTGGGAAAACGAAGAATACTGAAATTAGGACTAGATTGAGAATTAGAGAAATCTGTGTCTTGTATATAAAACAGCTTTTTTCAAGGCTCAAATCCTTAACAAATTTTAATATCAAAATAACCTGCCTAAGGACAAACTAGAGTTCCCCCAAATTAAAATCAATACATTAGTAAGAAGTGTACTATGCCAACATGACATACTTGTAATATGTCAATACACTAGCACTGTAAGTGTTAACAATTTGTGAGAACTCCAAAATTATCATTAAACTCAAAGCCAGGGAAAAATTATTAATATCAGTAACCTAAATGTATTCCATGGGCTTCCCAAGTGGCACTAGTGGTAATGAATCCACCTGCCAATCCAGGAGACATAGGTTCAATCCTTGAGTCAGGAAGATCCCCTGGAGGAGGGCATGGCAATCCACTCCAGTATTCCTGCCTGGAGAATTCCATGGACAGATAAGCCTGGCAGGCTGCAGTCCATAGGGCCACAAAGAGTTGTACATGAATAAGGTGCCTTAGCATGCATGCATGCAATGGTGTTTCAGGGAATTCCAGGATCATAATATTCAAGAATAAAAAAGTTTCTTTTTAAACTTGATACTAAAGATAACTTAATGTGACTAGAACTTCTAAGATGATAGAAACTACAGTCTGTTAACCAATAACTCTGAGAGCACCAGGAGATGTTGTTGCAAAAGCTCTTCTACTTTTGTGAAGGCCCTGCATAAACAGTACCTAGTCCCTGGTGGCTGAGATGGTAAGGAATCTGCCTGCAATGCAGAGGACTTAGGTTGGATCCCTGGGTCAAGAGAATGATGAAAAAATCCTTTGAGTTTGTTCATCAAACATCACCCTGCTTCTGACTCCTCCAGGATCACTCCTAGTCATCCTAATCCACTGCAGGCTGCACTGGCCCTCACTGCACACCTACTGTGTGGTAGGCAACAGAGCAGGTACCATTCACATCATCACCCTGTTCCCATGATTGCAAGCATCTCAATCCCACAGCATTAGAACAAGTTTAAATTGATAACTCTTACTAGAACATTAAAAAAAATGAGCCTGGATGACATATGATTAATTATATGTTATTCCACTCCAATTTTAAAAAGAGAAAAAGATTCTGTGTGAAATCACACTGTGCTAATTTTACTAATAGACAGAAAAAAAGGCAATAATTTAGTTGTGACAATATCATAATCCTCCTACTGACAAAATATAATAAAATAATATTTCACTGAAACATCTCATTTGAAAGGCTGTTTTCTTTTGTGATGATGGCAAAAGTATTTGTTGAATTCTGATGACATTGTAACTGATTTCAATGTTCTACATAGAAGGAAAAAAAAAACCACTTTCTGTTGAATACACAGTATTAAGTAACCATCTAAGTATTAGTTCAGTTCAGTTGCTCAGTCGTGTCTGACTCTGTGACCCCATGGACTGCAGCATACCAGGCCTCCCTGTCCATCACCAACTCCTGGAGTTTACCCAAACTCATGTTCATTGAGTCAGTGATGCCATCCAGCCATCTCATCCTCTGTCATCCCCTTCTCCTCCTGCCTTCAATATTTCCCAGTATCAGGGTCTTTTCAAATGAGCCAGATCTTCGCATCAGGTGGCCAAAATATTGGAGTTTCAGCTTCAACAACAGTCCTTTCAATGAACACCCAGGACTGATCTCCTTTAGGATGGACTGGTTGGGTCTCCTTGCAGTCCAAGGGACGCTCAAGAGTCTTCTCCAACACCACAGTTCAAAAGCATCAATTCTTTGGCGCTCAGCTTTCTTTATGGTCCAACTCTCACATCCATACATGACCACTGGAAAAACCATAGCCTTGACTACATGGACCTTTGTTGGCAAAGTAATGTCTCTGCTTTGTAATATGCTGTCTAGGTTGGTCATAACTTTCCTTCCAAGGAGCAAGCATCTTTTAATTTCATGGCTGTAGCCACCATCTGCAGTGATTTTGGAGCCCCCAAAATAAAGTCAGCCACTGTTTCCACTCTTTCCCCATCTATTTGCCATGAAATGATGGGACTGGATGCCATGATCTTAGTTCTCTGAATGTTGAGCTTTAAGCCAACTTTTCCACTATCCTCCTTCACTTTCATCAAGAGGCTCTTTAGTTCTTCTTCATTTTCTGCCATAAGGGTGGTGTCATCTGCACATCTGAGGTTATTGATGTTTTTCCTGGCAATCTTGATTCCAGCTTGTGCTTCATGCAGCCCAGTGTTTCTCATGATGTACTCTGCATATAAGTTAAATAAGCAGGATGACAATATACAGCCTTGACATACTCCTTCCTTTTCCTGTTTGGAACCAGTCTGTTGTTCCATGTCCAGTTCTAACTGTTGCTTCCTGACCTGCATATAGATGTCTCAAGAGGCAGGTCAGGTGGTCTGGTATTCCCATCCCTCGAAGAATATTCCACAATTTGTTGTGATCCACACAGTCAAAGGCTTTGGCATAGTCAAGTAAGCAGAAATAGATGTTTTTCTGGAACTCTCTTGCTAGCATAATGCAGGTATATTAGAAAGAGAAGAATGATTATCTGCCCTCTTATTTGCTTTCCTGACATCAGTAGGGCACTTGGAGGCTGTATGTGGACCTAGCTCTGGATAGCCCTCTTTGCCTAGTGGGAAGAAACGTTGTATCATGATGTGGAAGTCCCGAACAAATGCTGATTTTTCCATCTCTTTTTATCTGCTCCCCTGTCCTGTTCCTTATCTAGGGAGGGGGAAGAGGATGGAAGGTATTTAGGCCGTTAAAATACAGCTAAAGAGAGTGAGTATCTCTCCTGAATTAGGGAGTAGAACCAACTCTAAAACGTTTACTATCTGAACTTGTAGGTTTGTCCATAAGATCATGATTAGGAACTCCCAGGCTGAGAAGTTGAGTCCTGATTTGGCTAAATGAAGAATGTTATTAGAGGGGCTGGTTTTCTCCCAGAGCCAAGTCTATAGGAAGGACAGGTGGGGCTGGAGGGGAGGAATGCCTCAGGGAAAAGAGTTTGGGGCACCTATGGGGCTTGATTTCATCCTCCATGGGATTCTGCTTTTAGAATAGTAACCCAGGGGTCTGAGCCTAGCACACAGTCAGTTTCAAAGTACAGGAAACACGAATAATTTAAAACTACTCAAAACATGTATTGTTCTCTCATACCTGCAGGTCCTCTACCTCCTACCTCGCATTCTTCATCTGGCAATTGGTGTTCCACCTTCAAACCTCTGCTCAAGCATCAGTTTCTCCAGGAAGTTTGACCTTCCTCCTCCACTCTTGCCAGCCTGGGATGGGTGTCCATGCACAGTTCCTGAAACACCTCATGCCCACTTCCCTGTTGGAGAGCGAGGAGATATCACGGCCCCTGAAACAGGGAATTACAGCTGTGAGTGTATTGAATTTGAAAAGTCCAAGTTTTGTCTCGGCTAGTAGAGGCTTCTGGGCGTTCTTCCTCTGTTCTCTTTTGCTGTCTGCATCTGCGTGGAAGGCAGTTGCTATTCTGATTGCTTCTTGAGACCACATCGCTCCATGGGCAGGGGCATTGTCCCAGGAGGTAACATGGTTTCATGAGTGTCCCTTCTCTTCCTCCGTCTGCTGCTGGACACGGCAGGCTAGCTCTTCCTGTCTGTGTGTCTGTTTAGGTAAGTGTGTTTGGGAGGCAGACACAGACCTCACTACTCCTGCACTCCCCACCAGGGAGCTGAGATTTGGTGTGGGGGCTGGGCTACTCTGGAGGCTTAGACCTCAGCGAGGCATCCTGAGTTAGCTTAGGGCAGCCCTGCCTTTGACCTCACTGGATACTTGCCCATCAGCTACTTTTTTCTCCATTTGCCCATCGATTGTTAAATCTATAGCTCTTCTGTCAGGAACCTGCAAAGGGAACATGATGAGTGGAAAGGAGGCCTCTAACACCCTAAACTCTACCAGGCCCACCTCTGCAGTTCCAATGATACACCATAACTACCTGTCTCCCTCATTAGATGACAAATTCCCTGAGAAACTGTTATTGATCTTTGTATCCCCAGTGTTCAGTGTAATGTCCAATAGGTTCTAGGTGATCACAACATGGTGTGTGAATGAATGAATGGATGCATGAGTTTGGTCATTTTCGGACTTTCTCCAATCCAACCCTGGCCACTCTGTGAGCCGACCGACCTCTGTGTGGAGCTTAACTGGTCACCCTACCCAGAATGTACTCAGTCCCAGCTCAACATTCACATTTTCTGTGAAGTCTCTTCTAGCTAATTCTGCCCACGCTCATTTCCTCTTCTAATGCCTTTTGCATGGTTTATTTGTTATTCTTTAATTTGTTTTAAGTGTGTCGTGATTATGTTCTTAATTAGATTATATGTGACCTAGTCTTGACTGACTTCTTCCATGAAACATCACCAGCCAGGCCTGAGTTTGTGAACAGAGCAGCTGCCATCAAATCTTCCTAACTTGAATGAGGTGGGAAAAGTCATTTGCTTTCCTTGGGCCTCAGTTTCCTCACCGGTGAAAATGGGTGGAATAATCCTCTACTTGAATGTGTCATGAGCATTGAAAGGATCAAAATAAAAACACAGTGGCATCTACAAAAAGCATACACAATTTATACCTCATAGAATGTCAAATAAATCTAGGATCAGAAGAGAGCTTTATAAATTCTTATACATTTACTTCATAATGACTATGTTGCTCATAGGCATCTCATTAATGAAGGTTGAATTTGTTCTTTCTGTAACTCTAGTGAAGACGATTAATTTGCAATGATAGATGGGTGACATGTTGCATTTAAACCCATTCCAAGAATGGTTATCAGGCTGTAAATGTTTCAAAAATACTACTATGGAATCTCTTAGAATGTAGTTTTGCAATTAAAGTTTAAATTTAAAGTTTACCATTATTATATTTCTTAAAGTGAATTTTTGTTTATTAGGAATGTCTTAATTCACTTGGGCTATTATCACAAATTACTATAGGCTTTATGGATTAAAAACAACATGGATTTGCTGCTCACCGTTCTGGAGGTTAGGAAGCCCAAAATCAAGGCACCAGCAGGTTTGATGTCTGGTAAGAGCCTGCTTCTGGTAAGAGCCAACCCTTGTCCTGCTATGTCCTCACATGATGGAAGGGATGAGGGGCCTTTTTGGTTCCTTTCATAAGGGCACTGGAAAAACACTAGAATGCTTTATGAATATAGAATATCTTGTATACCATATAATTCCCCTAAGTCATGATGTGCTACAGGGATTTGGTAAGCAGTTTTAAGACATCACATAGAAATATTTACGCATATTTTTTAGAGTGTAGTTCAAAGTACAAATATAGAATGAGACCCATTTCTTTGATTTAGAAATTACACATAAGAATCTAATAACATTAAGCCTATGCAGATAAATACCTGAGAGGGGAAGTTTAATAACCTGTAGCTAAATTAACATACCCCATGTTGTGTGAAAAGATAATTATCCTACTCAGTGTGTTTCTGTTTATGACTCAAATTCTAAGAGTAGTGGCCTAAGGAAATGTGCAGATCTGAGTTGTCTGATATGGTAGCCACTGGAAACACATGGCTATTTAAGATACACTAAAATGTAAAACTCAGTTCCTTGTTTGCACTTGATACGTTCAAGTGCTCAAAAGTCACATGTGCCTAGTGACTACTATACTCAACAGAGGAGATTCAGGGCATTTTGCAGAAGGTTCTATTAGACAACAACCCTTTCTGCTGACAGCACAGGCTAACAAGGTTAACAAGAATTCCCTGTGAATGGGGGAAAAGTTCAGCAAAATTTTCCAAATTAGTATTGCCCTGCCCAGTGTTTCAGATATGTCTGCTGTTCACACACACACACACCCCACAGCTGAGTCTTAGTCATCACAAATAATATCTTTATATCTTCCATAGCCACTGCTTTAATATTGGTGAAACAAACCTTGAATCTGCTACTTGAGGGAGACTGTGATTTAATGAATAACTTCAAATATCTCTCACTATTGCAACAGCAGATTTTGCATTGAGGAGCATACACTTTTGAATGCATAGTGCTTTATTTAAACACACATATATACAGTGATGACAAAGGGAAACTCTGCAGAGGTGAGCACAGGGACTGCATGCATTGGGAGGACAGGCAGACTCTAGTTTTACAGGATGAAATGGGGGTTGAAAAAGAGACAGAGACTGGAGAGCGAGTTTCATTTCCCATCACCACATAGAAGGGTCTTCCAGCCTGTCAAACACAAAAAGAAAAGCATGTAAGAGAAGCTTCTAACTCCCTGGGAGGCTTGCAAGAGTGAGACATCCAGCTCAGAACTGAAAGATGATCAGAAACTGCTGAAAAGGCTGCTGGCATTCTAAATAGAGGACCATGTAGAATATCAGAGTGGGAGACAGTGGCATAATGTACAGAGACCCAGCTGAGTAGCTTCACTCATGTTAACGAGAGTCTCAGGCAAATCTCAGAGGGAATATTTAAAAGGCTCTGTATTTATCAAAGAAGCCAAGGAACTCCACAATATTTCTGAAGATCAAAACTACAGGAATCACACGAAACTGTAAAAAGAAAGTTATTGTTATTCAGCTCTGAATATGCTTCCTGTGTTTTCCTGCAAGGCTTCTTATGTAGTAAGATGCTGTTTAATAGACTATAAAGAACCCTTTTAAATAAAATCGCATTCACAGGCAATTTCAAGGCTGTCAAGTTTTGTCTTTTTCTAAGTGCACATGACTGAAGCTGTCAGAGTACAATTAACTCTATTTCTTGCACCAGCCATGTGACTTTGGGCCACAAATCAAAGAACAGCATTAAGGCTGTAGGTCGGTCTGGATGATTATATTTCTAATCCTGAGTAGATAGAGCATATCCTAAACTTACTAGTGTGACAAACTTCATATGCCTATCAATGAAATATTAAAGCATGTATTGCTTAGGATTTTAAAACCACCCTTGAGAGTTTTCTACCTGCTTCCCTCGCATTTGCTGTTTAAGTCTGTGCTAGTGCCGCCAGGGACAAGAGCACTGGAGTTTTAGTCCGATCCAAACTGTGTGTCCTTCAGAGAAAACAAACCTGACGACTCTAGACTTGCACCTTCACTCTGGCTGGCCATTCATTTCGCAAGAGAAGAGGGAGAACCCAATGAAGAGTGACAAGCCAGTCACATGTGTTCTAGCGACCTCTTCTGGGGAGCTTGGTTTTTGATGTTGTAGAGCTCTGGGTTTAAGGTAGACAGGCCATCTTACTCGGGGAAGGGACAGCGGGCCTGGGACAGGAGAGCCTGCTATGGAAAAGGAGGAGGAGCAGGCGTCTTTTCACTTGCAGTCTTTATCTGGAATGACCCCAGCCCAATGTTTGACACCTAGATATTAGAGGGCACCTGTCCTAAGGCAGCTCCACACTCCAAGAAAGCCCCAAGTTTCCAAGCAAGCCCTAAGAATAATATGTTGTTCAATGTTCATTCACTGAATGTGATACATTACAATGTGACATCAGATGAACTAAAATAAGTCAAAAAGTAAATAGGAGCACCCCTTGATTTATCTACAGCTTCTTATAAAACCAGCGTGACTGGAGTGAAGCCAGGAGGGACTCTCCAAGGATATGTAGATCCTCCACGTAGACTATAAGAACCAAAGATTACCTCAGCCAAAGACAGACAGTTGGTTATTTCAATGTAGATATTAGGGCATATCCTATGCTTCCTCAATCTAAGCCAGTTAGAAATTTTCCATAGAGTAATTTTTGAGGCAAAAGTCATTTATATTTGAAAATTTCAAAGGAGCATCAAATTAAGTGGAATCAGAAAATATTCTCCCACAGGTTCAGAGATTTGTAAAAGAGTATGTGAAGAGAAAGGTCCTCCATGCTGTTGCCCCTCGTTCTTTCTGTCCAAGTCGCACCTAGTCTGGAGGATCCCATCCCAAAGCCTTCCTCTAGCAGCCCTCTCTGATCTCCTTTCCCTGACCACCTTGAGCTCGGCAACAGTGTTCCCACATAGTCTGTTCATACCGAGTTCTGGGTACGTTTCCCGTGCTTTCTCTCATCAAGAGGTCTGAAATCAGGGTCTCGGGGCTAGAACGTTTCCCGTATCTGGAAAAAAAAAAAAGACCGGTTGGGGGGAGTAAAAGTCCTTTAAGGCAAGTTTGGAGAAATCATAAACACCTTTAGAAAAGAAAGATTTGTGGTATTAAACATAAAACATCAACAAAATCATAACTCTGCTTAAAATTAGAATCTTGATGAATATCCACTGTAAGTCACAATGCTCTGAAAGCAACAGAGTTATACACAAAAATGTGCATTACTGCTGCTGAAATGCACCCATTCTCACAGCTACAGATTCTGAATATTTTTCATGTTTATTCGGGGTGCCAAAAGCTAAAAGTCTTCTCTCCTGACGTGATTTTAATCTGCCCTGAAAATACGAAGGAAACCTACTGGTCCACAGAAATGTTCTTGGTCTCTTTTCTCCCATAGCAGGGTATGGGTAGAATAATATGTGAATTCAAGGTTATGTTTTCCTGCCAGGGTAGTATATGCTGCTGGCTCCAGGTGAGTAAGGACCTGGTCTGTTTGTATGTCTCTCTCTCTCTGCTAAAGGAGCTGAGAAATCTACACCAAGTTGTATTTTTTTGAAGACACTATTTTTCCCTTTCTCAAAAAAAGCATTGGACATCAGTAGCTGCTTTTTTCACAAATAAAAAAATAGTCTACTGTGGATTGATTAGATATCAGATAAAACAGCAGAACAAAGCTGATAGAGAGTATATGCTGGCTGCCTATCAAGCACAATTAAATCTAAATTTGGAGGAAAGAGTTCCTATTATTGCTCCTTTGCAGGGACTCAAGGGATACCAAAGCAAAGCCAGCTCTCCCGCCCTATCATTTGTGAGATTTCCTCAAAGATTTTCTGGTGTTGTGATATCAGACTGTAGGTGGCAATTTATATGTATTTATTCTGTCCATCAGTCGATTTTATTAATCTTAAAACTCTTGGGCAACCTTAACTCATTTATTTTCATCATGCTGCAGTGAATTAAAGAACTGGTGAATATTTTCTCCAATTTACCATTAGAGAACCTAAGTCTGCAATAGCAGAATTTGTAGTCAGAAAGTAGTAGGTATCCAGAGCAGCATCAATGACTGTTCTCCCATCTCTAATTAATTCTGGATTATCCTTCTTGATAATGCTTTATCTTTAAAGACAGCATCTCTAGGCTGCACACTAGAATCAGCTTGGGGGTTTTGAAAAAGCCCAGGTCCCACCCTCTGGGAGATTCTGATTTAACTCCTCAGGGGTGCAGCTCAGCATTAGTATATTCTAAAAGTTCCCCAGATGATAATAATGAGACCAGGAGGAAGAAACTCTAGTCCAGGGCTGGGTTTCTCAATCTTGGCACTGTGCACATTTTGAGCTGGATAATTCTTTATTGTCAAGGGCTGCCCTAGGCACCGCAGGATGTTCATCAGCATCCCTGGCCCCTACTCGCTAGATACCAGTAGTAGCCCCCTTGCCACCCCATCCCATGCCACCCCACCCCTCCCCATCCCATCCCACCCCACCCCTCCCCACCCCACCCCACTCCACCCCACCCCACCCGACTCCACCCCATCCCACCCCATACCATCCCATCCCATCCCACCATTATGATAACTGAAAGTGTCTCCAGAGATTGCCCAATGTCTTGGGGAGCATAACATCAACCCCAGTTAAGAACCACTGATATAGAGGACTATAAAAATAAAATGTGGTAGATCTATGCTCTAGAATAAATGATGCTACCTTTGGAAGCAAGAGCATGAACCAAGCAGAAAAGGGGAGGAAAGAGAATATCAAAGTACCATTTATACCAAATTAAAATGTATGTGTATAAACGTAATTTTCAAAAAATACAAATGTACAAATGAGTGGATGTGTGTGGTGGGAAGATGATGAGAGTATAGAATGGAGGTGATGGGTGCAGATTATGAACCTCTGAGTGTTTCTAAGAAAGAACTTTTATGCAGAGGAGATAGGAAACTGCTTCAGGAACACTTGCTAACCTGAATCTTAACCCTTTCCCTTATTTTCTCCTCATCAAAGGTGTTGAAGATCACTCTGAGTGCTGATAGAAGTGACAACATCCAGAGATCAAGAGGAGGGCTCCAGTTTAACCACTCCAAAAAAAGTTTTCATGAAATGTCCTTAATTTCATGATCTGTAAACTGTAGATAATTATACTCACTTCAAAGCTTTGAGGTAAAGACTGAACAAAGTAATGCCTAGGAAACATTTTGAAATGCCAAGCTTTACACAATGGTAAAGGTTTATATCAATCATCTTTGTAAAACTAAGTTCCACTATATGCTATAATTAACAGACTAAATAACTAACAACATCTTTGCTAGGGAAAAAAACAATTTGTACAGTTTTTTCTCTGGTCTTTATGATGCATAAGCAAGAATATGAAGCGATTAACTTTCTGAAGGTCCATTAAGATATGACATTCTTGCTTTTCACTAATGAAAACTGTCAGACTTCAGGGATCATAAACCAATGCTATTTAATTCTAGCACTTTCATATATTTCTAACTTCATATAAATTGGTACTTTAAAAGCTTTTTGATGAAACAGAAAGTTTCATCAAAGTTAGAGTTTTCTTTAAGAAATACAAATTCTTTCCCACTTTGAATTCTTTCCAACTATTCCTTGAAATATAGTAAAATTACAAACAAAAAACAATACTTTAAAAACATAAATATGTTAAATAACACTAAACTTTGTAAAAAGCTCATTGTTTTCAGCTTATTAAGGACATTTGGTCTCAGTAATTTAAAAAATTGTATGATTCAAAATTAAGATGAATTAATTTTGGAAACAAATTTTAAATCCTTTGTTACTTCTAAAATAGCTTGGATTTGATTTTTTGCTTAAGATTTGATGTTGAGAGTGAAATGTGGCCTTTCATTTTAGCTTTCTAGGGGTTCAGAATAAAGATGACAATTTCTCAAATTACATGTAATCCTTGGATTCACCCTAAAGTGAACAGATCATTGTAAGTTTCTCCTTAAAAAAGCACCAGGTGGGCATTTTCTTTGAAAATGCTATGAAATGGGAAAAGTTTCAGCATTTTATACTAATGTTTTCATGCTAAATCTCTACTTATTAGGAGGATTTTCAGGTAAGGGGTTCAGACTGAAATAAAACACTGTAGGGGAAAATAGTTCTATTTGTCTTTTCACTTCAGTCTGGGCAGGTTGAAAAATCTGGCAATGTCTTTGGTGACCCAGCTGTTTCCTCCTTAGCTTGTGCTGTTATTTTTCTAGATACCCTGCAGCCCTCTCAGCTGCAGCCACCTCCGCAGCACCCTCCTGACCCCTTTCACTGGGTACTTTCCTATCCAGGTTTCCAAACAGTCCCCCAACTGCTCTAAGAACAAAAAAGACAAGGGGATGGGTGTGAGGAAATGGCCAGCCAGACACCCAGACTGGGGGACCTGAGTCTGGGGATCAGGATTTTGTGACAGTAGTGGCAGAGGCAGTTGCTCCCTGTGCAAACATTTACTGAGAGCTGAGTATGTGCCTGATGCTGTCTGGCCCTGGGATAAAAAAAAGAAAAGAAAAGGTCTTTGCCCTCTAAGATGCCCATTATCTCCGGGTGTGCAAGTGGGGTGCTCCCGGAGTCGTGAGTCCCGCGCAACCCACCTACCTCTGCCTGGTGATGAGATTGATGTAGTGTCGCAGCGCTGAGTAGTATCTGGCCAAGTCCTCCGCCGGAGCGTCCTCTCCGGGGTTGTCAGGCTTGGAGGGGTACGCCTCGGCCAGCGCGCCCAGGCACACGAGCAGGGACAGGGCGAGGGTCAGTCCGGACAAACCCAGTCGCTTGCTTCCCAGCATCTGCGGACACGGAAGGTGCAGCGAAGGGGACTTAGGGGATTCAGAGGACTCACGCTCCGCACCTTCCTCCTCTGGCCCCAGCGCCCACCCCGCTCCTACGACCCCCCTCCCCAACCTTCAATCTCCGCTCGACCCAGTCACGCAGAGAGAGCAAACAGTGGTTGTGAGACCATCCTGCGGATTCAGGTCAAGAGCTGCGCTGGCCCGGCCCCTCTGCTCCACCCGAAAACTGAGCAACTTTGGTTCAGTAGCAGAGCCAACGACCCGGCGGTGAGAGGTGCTGAGTTAGGGAGGCTCCGGAGCCAATTTAAAACACTTAAAAAACAGATTAGAAGTTCCTCTCCCTGCGTTGAGAACGTACCCCTTTCCTACCCTCTTCCCCAAACGCCCTGTTAGAGGGAAGAAGTTTCTCCTTTTTCAGTTTTGGTCTGCCCCACTGCAGGAGCTCCACAGTGATGGCAAAGAGTACTTCGGGGTGGCAACTGGCGGCGAGAGGGGAGAGAACGGTGGGGACGCCCTGTCCCTCGCCGGTGGGTCTCAGATTGGATCCGAAAATCCCAAGAAGCGGTAGGGAGCAGGTCTTCCAAGCTCCGGGGATTCCTCATCCGGGGAGCGCTGCTTAGGAAACCTCCCTCCAGGCGGCGACCCTCGAGGAAACTGCCAGCTGCCCTGGGATGGGGCTCGTGTTCTCCCTCCTTATCCACCATAAGATAACCCAGAGGGCCGGCGCAGCCAGGAGAGTCAGAGAGAGGGCAGCTGTACCATCAAAGGGGACAGGAAGGGGCAGGTGGAATTCAGCCGCCAAGAGGGGCTAGCGCGCGTCGAGGCGCCTGAAAGCCCGGCGCGTAGGGGTTAGGGATCCGGGCGCGACCCTCCCAGCGTCCCCGGCAAGTTCACAGGCACCCCCCTCCCTTGGCTCGCGTCAAGTAAGCGGGTCTTGGCACTCACGGTGGCGGGCTGGCTGGCTGGGCGGCGGGCGTGGCTGGGCGGCTAGGGCTCAGTAGTCAGGCGCGTCTCTTCTAGGGGTGACAGCCGGCGGAAGGGGGTGTCCGGAGCAGGTGGCAACAGGGTTTTTATGGCTCTCCCTCGCCACGGCAGGAGGGGCCTCGGGCAATCACGCTCCGCTACTCCCACCCCGCAGCTTCCCGCCCCCGTTGGCGGGGGATGAGGGAGGGGGTCTGGAGCTACTGCCGCGCTAGCCTCGGCTCCGGGAGCCACCCACACCTCAATTTGCCAGCGCCAGCCAGGCCCCAGGAAAGGGAAGCTAGTAGGACGCTAGCGCAGCAGCGTGCTCGGAGAGCGCAGGACCACGCCAAAGCACAAGTTCCTGCCCTCCCGCGGCGGCCAAATCTTGCCTTCCTCCACGCCCGGTCTAGTCCTGCCAGAGATAGGAGCAGCCCAGGTCATCTCTGTCGCCCGTCACCTGGACTACCATCAGCTGGGCACCAGGGTTGGGGTACCCGTATCCTCTACGTGGTGAAGGCTTTCTGGGATCCGTATGGCTAGGGCGCGGACACGACTTCTGAGCGCTTTCGGGGGAGACAACTTGGTGCCGGATTTTCCTGCTCCTAAAGCAGCTCCCAGAAGCCTGCCCGAAGTCCCGAGCTAGAGGACCCCAACGCTCCACTCCTCCAGGGCTGAGCAAAACCTTCTGTGGCTTCGTCCCTTTCCCCAGCTTGGTTTTGGTGGAGATCGGCCCTCTCCAAGAACTCGCCCGAACGCTGGGAGTCCAGTCGGTACCCGACAGTGTGTAGCGACTGAGAACTCCTTAGAGGCGGGACACTTTCTGCGTCTGCTGAAAAAAAGCGGAGTTTTAAGCTCGGAAAGACTCCTTAAAGCGCGAACGAAATTTTTTGGTCCAAATCGACCAGGTAGTCAAATGAACAGCAGTTTTCTTTTATCTGCTGGCCGTTGAATAGTGCCAAATAGGTTTTATTAACGTTGATTGAGAACGTGGGTTCTAATTGAAACAGGTAAAAAAAAAAAATCATTGATTTGCCCATCGCATTAAACCTACAGAGTGAATATGAAAGATTCATAAACTATTTTTACAGGATCAGGATTTCATGCAGTGGATTAGGTCTTAAAGCTCCCTGAATGAATACTTCTAGAAGTCTGAATCTTCCTAAAGAAATGGCATGTTAAGGAATTAAAGCACTAAGTTACAAGTTATTTCCATGCTAAAATGACAAGTGATTTTGTTAAACCGACATGTTTTTGTGCTGTTTTAACAGCATTGAATTAAATATCAATTACTGTGCAGCAAGCAATCCCGTGTGTGTGTGTGTGTGTGTGTGTGTGGTTTTGAAGACCAACATCCTTTTCACTTAGGTGACTTCCTCTTTCTACATTACACAAACATATGCCAGGAACACAAATGCCAGGCTCTTGGGGCTGCTCAGGAATGCTTATGTGAAAGAGCCTTTGCTTAAGCTAGAGCAAAACACTTTCTAACTCTGATTCCATTCTTGATAAAAAGAGAGGCACTTCTAGCTGCGGAACCATTTCTTTCCTTTGTTTCAAAATCATTTATTTATGCTTATTCTTAACAGCTTTGTTGAGATACAATTGAGATATACTAAGCTACAAATGGGGCTTCCTTGGTGGCTCAGATGGTAAAGAATCTGCCTGCAATGGGCGAAACCTGGGTTTGATCCTTGGGTTAGGAAGATCCCCTGGAGAAGCAATTGGCTACCCACTCCAATATTCTTGCCTGGACAATTTCAAGGATAGAGGAGCCTGGTGGGCTACAGTCCATGCAGTTGCAAAGAGCTGAACATGACTGAGTGGCTAACACTAAGCTACACATATTTAGCATGTCCCATTGGGTATATTCTTACTCATATTCCAGTGAAGTCATCACTACAATCAAGTTTCCTCATGTCCCCTTATAATTCCTACCTCCTGCCTGTCCCTGTTTCCCTTCTTCATTGATCTGCTTCCTGTCATTATACATTTGTTTGCGTTTACTGGAGCTGTATCATAACGCAATCTCACGGTAATCTTTGGTCTGCCTTCCTTCATTCTGCATCATTATTTTCAGATCCACCTATGTTGTTGCATGTACCAATAATTCATTTTTTATTGCTCAGTAGAATTTTGTTATATGGATATAATTTAAACTTGAAAAATCTATTCAACTGCTAATGGACTTTGGGTTGTTTCCAGTTTGGACTATTACAAATAAAGTTTCTACAAACATTTGTTACAAACTTTTGTACCAACATATGCTTTTATTTCTCTTAGGGAAATGCTTGGGATAGAATGGCTAGGTTACATCGTAGGTATATGTTGTCCCACGGTTCACTGTTGGTCTGTCTGTTTTTGTATGCTTTGCTCATTGTGTGTGCTGACTAATATTTTCCTCTGCAATGTGTAATCACTACAAAGACCATATAGCTTTTATCTCTAGAATTTCCATTTGGATCTTTTTTTTCTTTCATGTCTTAATATGTCCAATCTTTTCTTTGGCTTCTTGGATATACATTAATAATAATTTGTTTACTATTTCTGATTGGTGTCACTTCTGTGCTACTTTGGATTGATTTATTTTTACCTCGCTATGACTTGTATTTTCCTTTTTTGTCTGCCTGATCATTTTGGAAAGGATGTCAGGCATTGTAAATTCTACCTTGCTGTTTTGTTGGATGTTTTTACAGTTCTAAAACTATTTTTGAGCCTTGTTCTGGGACACTGTTTAAAAAACTGGGAGCAGTTTGATCCATTGTATCTAAGGTTTTTTTTTACATGGGCCCAGAGCTGGCTTTAGTCTAGGTTTAATTTTCCCCACTTTGAGGAAAGCACCTTCTTACTTTAATTAATAGCTGATGTCTGCTGAATTGTGAAGCTTTTCCCTCTTAACTGTTGGAACAGGATTATATTGTGGACACTGGACACTGTTTCCTCTCATCCTTTTAAGCAGTTCTTTTCCTGGTCTCAGGTGATTTCTTCATGTGCATGATCTGATCAGCAATTCATTATATATCTGAACTGGACACTCTGAAGATTTTGAGTGTTCTCTCTCTTATCTGGTACTCTACTCATAAACTTCAGTTGTTTCAGTTTCCCCCTCTACACTGCAACCTGGATAATTTCTTGATGCAGTGGGCTGAGACAGTCATAGAGCTCCCCTCAACTGTTTCCCATCTCTAAGAGATCACTGTCCTTTGCTGCCTGATGTCCAATGTATTTGAATATTGTTTCATGTATTTTTGTCTGGTGTTTCAGATATTCAAACAGGAGGGCAAATCTTCCTCTTTTTATTTCTTACCTAGAAGTAGAAGTTTCGTAGTGAGGCTTTGGGGGAAAAAAGATGTTTATACTCATTGTCCCTTTTTCTTCACTTTGGTTTGGTCATAAAACCATGGCAATATAAATTTGTCTGAATCTAGCTACTGAACCTGCTATCAGTAAGACCTCCAAATTGCAAGCTGCAAAGACCTTTACTAGTTATCCAACTTCTCTTGACTGTTGCCTTCACTGTTGTCCTCTGGGTCACTTCCTTTTTCTCTGAACTGGCCACACTCCTCTCTGCTAACTTTCCCTTCTGTAACTAGAGCCCTACCCTTAACCCTTCCATTCTGCACACACTAAACAAGTGAACTCATCTACTCCTATGGTTTATGAGTCTGAAATCTCTACCTCCAGTGAAGGGCTCATACCTGGAATCTAGTGCTAAATGTCCAAATCAGAAAATCTTGATCAAGCCACGAGTATAGATTATCCAAAACAGAGCTTCCATGAACATAAATTTCTAATTTTCTAATTCTGAAATTCCTAATTCTTAAATTTCATAGTAAGTCCAAAATATTTTCAGAATCCTTAAATTGAAATGCAGAGCTCATATATTTTGAGCCTTATGTACCTCCTAGGTTTCAGAGAAGGCAATGGTACCCCACTCCAGTACTCTTGCCTGGAAAATCCCATGGACGGAGGAGCCTGGTAGGTTGCAGTCCATGGGGTCGCGAAGAGTCAGACATGACTGAGCGACTTCACTTTCA